TCATTTTTTTAACTGGGCCTCACTGCTTCTTTTATCAGCAACTGTCCCTTAGTGAAATGTTTTTGTTATTCTTTTTTACATCAGTTGATTTGCTCAAAAAGATACAAAGTTTTGCTTCTGTTCAAGGGGGCCAATTCTTTGTTGATTCTAAATTTTCCAACACTTGTTCACGTTTTCAGTTTGTATTCCATTCTCGTTTTGTTATTATGCCTGAAAGTGGAAAGTAGAATGATCAATATAAAAGCTTTCAGGAACGTTATTAATTTGTAATAAACTATTTTAGGAAATTATTGAAAAGACGATTCAAGGATTAAAAGATGAAGAGATTGCAAATGTTAAAAGGTATTGTGCTGTTAACCTTTTATGCCGTAACATCAGTATCCACAATCTCCATACTTATGTCTATACATTCCTTTGGTACTGACAATGCGATGTGCAACGAATCTATGTAAAATCACATCGTTACGAGTCGTTCACTCGGGGAATTTCCAACTTTGGGCCTAACTCCTTACATGTGATCTGATTCACACCCTTAAGTCTGGAAAATGAAAATAATACCTCGGATAGACTCTGGAAAAATGTGCATTAGCCTTGTAAATGATCAATCCTACATATTTTTGTTCCCAGGGAAAAGCGGAAAGTTCAGAAGCAGAGACAAAAGTTACAGGAAAAGATGAAGTTAAAAATGATTATACCAGGAGACACTAAAGGCATGGAGACGGACATGGAAATGTTTTCTCTAGCTAACATCAAGAGTAAACAGGTATTGGTTGAAATTATGTCAAAAGTTAGAGATATGTCACAATGTTAGGTTTCGATGTCTGCGCCCTTCAGTGGTAACGTCAAATTAGGAAGAAAAACGTCAAGTATAAACATGGGAAGATATAACCGTAAGATATTACACGATCTTGCGGAGACACGAATTTTATCTTCGATTGCCAATGGTTAGTGTACCTTTCAAGAGTGAGCACACGAGAAGACTACTTCATATACAAACGTTGTTGTTTTACCTATAAAAGACAGTGGATTTTATCCCAAAACCTTAGCTGTGCAGCAGTCGTCAATTATAATTTCGTTGATCCGTTTAAATGCCCTCCATCTTTTAACGTCGTTGTTCCTGTACTTAATTTTCACCCTTTTCGAATTTCGTATCGAAGTTTGTCCTATTTAAACAAAAAGATTCTATATTTTACAATTATATTATGAATTTCTTTGTTGCAGCATCTTGATAATGTGGATGATGCAGACATGAACGAAGCAGACAATGAAGATCACAGCGAAAGTGAACAGGAGTTAGATTCTGAATCGGATCACGATAGCGAAGATGATGAAGAAAAAAATGAAGATTCCAAAAACGAGGAGGGAGAATTTGAATTTGAAGAAGAAAATGGTGAAGCGGATGACAGCAATGCGAAGCAACAAAGGTTTATTTCCATAGTTTTTTAAAATTTGTATTCTCAATTTGTAAGGACATTTAGATTGCTGTTGCTCTGCAGGTTTGTCGTCAAGAGCTTTTACTTGAGTTTCTTCTTGAAGCTGAAACCTAAAAAGAAATTGAGTAGTCTCTTTGAATGGTGGTAAGTTAATTTCAAGGTAGAAATGACTTGAACTGTGTTTCTTTAGGGATAAGAACCCACTCTTGGTAGAGTTGGAACCTGAAGTTCCTCTTACGATCAAGGCAAACAAGTGGTTTGAAAAGGTACAAAAAAGTCATATTTGATCTTTCTGAATAAGGTTACCAATAGTCCTGGTCCCCTCTTGTTACAAATATAGGGCGAGATGAGACACTTCGCTCGTGTTCGGACTTGAATCCTAAGTTAACTTTACTGAATACCTGTTTGATGTGGCAGGATGCGTTCAAAGGTTTGGAAGACGATGCTGACGAAGACCTGGAGATTTCCCAGATGGCGGAACTGTATAAGAAGCAAGGAGGAACTATCTTGGGTAGGTGTTACCACAATCAATTATACAACCAATAACGAAATAGTAGAGTTTCTCCCAGCTCTTAAACATGATATCTTCTGCGCGCACAGTTAAGATGATGTCTTTAACTTTCGAAGGTAGCAATATCGTTGTAGTTATAGCCACCGTGTATGTTAACACAGTGTCTGTGCTTTTTACGAAGGTTTTTTTTTACGTGAGCTTTGAAACTTTTTAAAGCAGGAAAAAATGAGTTGCTTTTATGTGTATGTTCATTCAACTGGCGTAAAGGTTGACAATTAAGTGTCGAAATGTATTTTTATCCTAGAAAAAAATTCTGAATCAGATTTGGGTGAGCAGCAGCAAGGGACCAAAAGAGGGATCGACGAAAAACCTAAACAAGCGAAAAAAAAGCGGTTGAGTGATAAGGAAGATAGCGACAGCGAAGAAAGTGAGAGCAGCACAGACAGCGAGGAGGATAACGCACCTGCCAAAACGACACTGGACAACGAGGGAAAGAAAGTCAGTTCTAAAGGAAATGACTTTGAGGTTGTGCCAGTAGAGGATAACAGTAAGTTGGATAATTTTTTAAGTGTTGTAAAATCTTTAGAGTGGCCACAAAGGTGTTGACGTCTTTTGGTATACAGTCTCATGTGACATTTACCCAGCACAACTCAGTGGAATTGTCGACGCATTGGAGTCGCGCACCATGTGAAGTAGCTGCGATCTATCTATTGCGGAATTTATTGCTGGCATCAAGCCGCGTTGTACGGCGATTTGTGATGCAACCCAAAGAAAACGTTACTTTTGAATAGTAGTTTGGCAAAAGAACAAGTAACTGAGATTACTTGTAACACTTCCTGGACGGAATTAGTAGGATTACCCTCTCCCTCCCCCCCCCTCCCAACCCTTAGTATTACGTCAGGCTTCCTTGATAGTTTACTGATACCCTTTTATACCCCGGATGGGGAGAGACACTTGGGAAGAACACAACCCAATGACATGGTTAAGGCTCGAACCCAGACCTCTCAGCCCAGAGTCCATCCTACTTACAACTAGTCCACCGTTCTGACGGTGAATGGTATTTGTTTTACTCAATAGGTGAATATTTGAAGAAGCTCACCCCAGAAGCTCTAGCACTGGGACATAAGATGGCTTTTTCGCGAAAAAATAAAAGGGACATCATTGATTCAGGATATCATAGGTGAGAACGACCAGAAGACACTTCCAACTTTTGGTCATATTCACTCGTTATTCCTAACAATCCTTTGTACCTTCGTAAGGTGGGCCTTCAATGACGATAACCTTCCCTCTTGGTTCGTGGAAGATGAAACGAAGCACTACCAGCGGCAAATACCGGTCACCAAGGAAATCGTGGAGGAATACAGAGCAAAAATGAAAGAAATCAATTCAAGGTCTGTTAAAAAGATCGCTGAAGCAAAAGCCAGGAAAAAACGAAAGGTATGAATATATTGACATACATATTACTTGTTTATGTAGTGTAGAAGCAGCTCACATCCATTTCGCAGGACACGTTAAAAGGTGTACTTTCTTCCTAAGAGTTTCGCTTCTTCAGGGCATAGAAATAGTTCAAATTAAAGGTTATCCAATCGTCTGAGATGGAATACGGTGCGGCCAGCTCTACACCCCTGTCTGTGGAGTGTAGGTTTTAGCCCTAATCGTGTTACGAACTGTGTTGTGGTCTTGAGGAAGGCAGTGCATTTTCACATTCTCTTTCTCTCTACCCGGAAGTGTGACTGAGTACCAGCTGGCAGGCTATTGTGTGGCATCCCAATTGGCATCACGTGTAGGGGTCGGTATTAGTAATGCAGTACATTTTTTCGTCCTAAGGTTTGAAACTGAGATAAGCTCTTTCGTTGGGAGCAACTAGACTCACATGCCAAAAAATTTTATTTTAACGGCATCTGGAAACCTAAAGTAAGCAGAAAACTTTTGGGCGAATGTAAATGACGTAGAATTCTCAGTTATATATCTCTGCTTAGGATTCAGGGTTCTCGGCTCGTACAACTTAGCTGTAGTGAAGCTGTAAGAGTTTCTCGAGTGGTTTTTCATTCTCTCTTTTAATCATTTCTTTTCAGGAAATGAAACGACTCGAAAAAGCCCGTCAAAAAGCAGAAGCTATTTGTGATACCGTCGATGTGTCCGAAAAAGAAAAAATGAATCAGATTAGAAGGTAGGCGTGGAATTTAATGCTCAGAAGTTTTAAGGCTTTAGCGGCGAAGACAAGCGGTTGTATCGCTGGCTATAATAAGTTTTGTTACTTGATATTTGCAGTTTGTACAAAAAAGCTGTTGGAAGTAAACGGAAAGAAGTGAAGTATGTTGTCGCCAAGAAAAGCCAAGGTAAAGCATATATTTTATATTAAATTAAACTGCCACAATCGTCTGCCCTTCGTCTATCGCTCTGACGACGGGCTAACGCTCGAAACGTCAGCTTTTTTACCCTTTACGGTGGCTAATTTACGTTTTCAACTCAGTTGTTAACACTGAATTACCTGCTATACTCTCCCACCGACGCAGCACCACAGTTTCTTTAGAAACTTACCCCTTTATTCATGCTACAATAAAATGTAAGCAACCTCTTTTGGTACAAACGTCGAACAGGCGTGCAGAATTTTAGGAAATCAGAAACTTAAAACCATCTTAATGCAAGGGAAAATGGACTGCAATCCATTCAAGTCGTCAGTCGGTCTGCTCCGTACGGGTGCTCCTATTGGCCCAGTCCTGTTGCGTGGGCGTGCTTGTTTATCCAATCACAATACATTGCTTTGGGATATGATATCCGTGAAGACCCCCAAAAAACGAGGCCATAAGTCGCTGTTATTCATGTTATTACTACGATTCACACTGAAATCCTGTCCACCTTCTTTTTGCGGAAGCTAGTTTTCATTAAATTGTCAACGTTTCGAAAAGTGAATTGTCGTTGCTACCAATCTTGTTGTTATTCCACGTATTTTGTGGATTGGAATGTTTTACTTTGTTAAAAATCGCTTTGTTGCTTCTTCCTTAAAAGTTATGCCCTCTTTTTTTCAGCCGCCAAGAGAATGAAGAGACCTGCTGGAGTTAAAGGTCCTTACAAAATCGTAGACCAGCGAATGAAGAAAGACTTACGAAGCCAAAGAGCTAACGAAAAGAGAAACAAAAAGAGTGGAAAGAGGAGGAGATGACACCCTTAGGAGCACAAAAGAAATTGGTTGTGTTGCAGAAATTGTCACGATCGAGTACAGACAGTTCACGTTCGAACGATAATGGAACGCGTGAAGGAAAACCAGGACTTATGCTCATAGAAGTTTCCTTGACCTTAATATTCAAGGGATAAGTGTTCTAGTTCGTTTTTCAGCACGAACATTTTCCTAGCTTCCCCTGTTTGCTTGTAAAGCTCTTGTCGCAGATTTGAAACTTTATTTTCAAGCAAATACAACCTTCTCTCAGCAGCTTCAGCTCGTATAGTACTCTCTTTGATTTTCTCACCCAGCGCGTGTGCTTGAACAATACGATCTTTTTCTTCTTCGTAAAATCTCTCGCGCTTTACACGCAGTCGTTCCAAAAGATTCTTTTTTGCAACAAGCTTGCTTTCCAAATCGCTGCATTTCCTCTGCGCTCTCATTTCGATGAAATTTGCTGTTTTAATCTCCCGGTTATAGTGTTTAGCTTGTGTCTTGAGGTCGCTTGCTTTGTTTTCAAGTTCGTTAGCTTTCGCTCGTGTTTTTTTCAACAAAACTTCCAGCGAAAAATTTTTTTGAGTGTTGCGCGTCTCCAGGTCTTTGAGCTTATTGATAACCATGGTATTTGTGTAGAGTAATTCGTCCACTTGTTTCAGTTTCGAATGGTTAGCCTCCAGATCTTCGTACGTCTTCTTCAACTTTTCTTTTTTAATTGCAAGCTTTCGGCGTTTATATGTGGCGTCTTCCCATAACATTTCACATCTCCGTTGTTTTATCCCCAAAGCTTTCGTCGCCCTTCGAATTTTCTCTTCTGCAACCTCGATTTTATTTCTTAAGTCTAGAATGCACGATTTCAACTGCTGAATTTTCTCTCCCATGATTTTAAGCAGACACCTCCAGTTTACTCACCTTTTCTACGAATTCTAAATGAAGCATGGCACATTCGCTGTAAAGATAACAAAACAATTATCCCATAAACTCTAACCGAACCATTAATAAGGGTTTAAAACAAATACTTTGGGAACCAATAGATGGTTTTTAGGGTCTGTAATTCACCTGTCTGCATACGATCTATTGAATCCGCTAAACACAACACACTATTATCGCAGCGCATCCGCATTATGATTGAAATATTACATCTCCGTACTGTATCATTCAAGTTAAAGAAACCTGGTGATGAAAATTCACTACATCGTCCAATGAAATAATTAATTGGTCTGTCACCAATCAATCAGTTTAAAGAATTTCCTTTTCGCTCACAACAAAACATGATCTTGTCAGTAGTAGGGCAGGTGTTGTAATTAATGTGAATAAACTTAAACGAAAACAGATTCTTTTTTTTAACGAGGAAGCTATTTTCTTGAATTCGATAACGATGCGGGAAGTACTTTCGGGAATTTTTCTCTTTGCCAAGAAACTTATTATACATAAACAAAGGGCTCGGAATTATTTCCTTATTACAGTTATTTCATTTCTTTCATAAGCAGTTCTGTGACATAAATTTTCAAAGGAATAGTGTAATGTAGCTGTAAAGAACTTTTTCACACGGTCTTTGCAGAGAACCAGAGGTAGCTCAGTAGCTTCTTTCTCCATCAGGCGACGAGTACCCGCGCATTGATGGAGTTTATCTCGTTTACTTCTCGTTGCTGAGCCTCCTCGTTGCAATCGCGTGACGCGCGACCATTTTCCACGCAGCTCATGGTGTACCTCTGAGTCTCGTGAGGCAGTAAAAGAAGAACTCTCTTATGAAGTGCTTTTCTAGTTTTTATCTGTTTGTTCATCTGGAAGCTTTTCATCTGTTTGCTCACTGTCGTGGATTTGAAAGGAGACGCGGTTGACAAAGTGAAGTGACGGGGTGCAGGGGAGGGGGGGGGGGAGGCGTTAAGAGCGAAAGAGTTTAAATCCACCTGAATCCACTGATTTGAACTCTCTTGTCCCCATCCCTAACAATTTCCCGAATGAAATATAGCGATGCAGTCAATAATCGAATACATAAAGGCCTGCATTTTTAAAGTTACCCTTGCAGCCGCCTACGCACGAAATAATCTGTCACCACCCCGAGTAAAAGAGTGTGGAGCCCAGTATCCCGCCGCGCAATATTTTGATGGCGGCGGCCATGATGCCTGTTCCGGGTTAGTTTGATTGCAATACTTTGTTCTTTTTATACCTGTTTAGACACTTCGGACGAAAATTTATTGACTCAGTTAAAAATCGATTCTTCCTCTATATTTCTGAGTCTTCATAAGTGTTTCATAGCCCTGATTTGCTAAAAAAATGAATCGAAACTATTGCAGCTTTGTAGCACTTGTTTCCTGAGCTGCATAGAAAGAAGATAAGCTTATGACAAAGCTTAAGGATAATCTTTCACTTTCTCAACACATGCTCTCGTTCTAGAAGGGCTAAGAAGAGGATAAAAATACGCTTGATTTCCAAGATTGGAATTATTGGTACAAACCATCATTTTTTGAGCAATTGTTTTCTCGCGTGTGCTTGTATCTGTACATGGAGATTTCCCTCGTGTACTTTTGTATGATAAAGCATTGATGATTGGAAAATCCATGGATCATACTTCAAGACGACAAAGCACTCAATAATTTGGACTTATATGCATGGGAATGACCCAGTCTGTGTTCTGTGTGTGTTACATGGCAAATGTGGATGGGTCGTATTCCACCGTATTTTAATTAAGTGGATGGGAAAGATTGTTTGTAAACGGAAAAATTTATAGTTATGTAATGAAATATGCCACCTAACTGTCCCTAAGGATTGTAGCTGCAGTAACTTTAAGGTGTGCTTTGAAACCCACCTAAATGTATAAACTAATTTTTATTTCTCTTTTATTTATCAGAGACCAATAGCCATGGTACAGACAGCCCAAACTACAGAGACAAATACAAAACTTTGAAAAGAAAACTTAAATTCCTGCTTTATGTAAGTTGAATAACACCTTTTTGAATACCTACTTTTTGACTCAAGTTATAGATAATACACAATAATATATATAAATGCATGTTTTTTCTTTGTTTGTTTATCCTGGAAAATACTATCTTATCTTAACCTTTCCACTCCAAAGATCTCATTATTAATTCTCCTTACTATTTTCTGATTCAATTCTTATGATGCTAGTTTGAACAATTTGGTATTGGATAAACAAATGATCTCTTAACTGAAATTCTCATTAATTATCTGCTTGATTTGAATTGATATGGTGAAGAGAAATTCTGTTTTGGTCACTAATGGGACTTAAAGGGTTTACGTCTTCTTTTACAGGAACAGGAATACTTCCAAGAAGAGCTCAGAAGAGTGCAAAAGAAGCTACTTCGTGTTTCTAGAGACAAAAGGTGTGTACATGGAATTTTAAGACACATAACATTATAGCCCTAAAAAAAAATGCACCTGCAGAGAAGAAAGAATTGGCTCATAGTGGTAACATTTTGGCTTATCTGACAGAAGCATTTAAAATTAGAAGTTCAAAAACCTCTTCCTGAGAAGCCTCAATAAGTTTATTTTCTAGCTACAAACTTTTTTGGCTAAAAGTGAGAAGAACCTATCCCTGGTCATTTGCAATGTGTTGGGTGATGTAATAACTTGTGTTTGGTGTTTGTGATATGGAATGCACCAAATTTGTCTTGAGAACTGTATGTCATGATTGTGTTACTGATAAGCCTGCCTCTGGGTAGACTTTTTCTAACTTTTGTTCTTTTTTGTGAGGGTATTACTCCAATCTGACAATTGTTTAACCCATTAACTCCTAGGAGTGATTAACCTGCAACTTTCCCCTATAATATACATACATTATCCAGTTGTCATCTTGGTCTGAAGCCAAATTCTCTTAATTAATTTACAAGGAAATGTCTAGGAACTAGAGGAGAGAATTAACAATCAGATCTTGAGTGTCAAAAGGTTAAGATTAGTCTCTTAAACTCATATTTGACAAGTGAGATGTACTATTTATCTGCTTATAACATCATTCTGTTAAATGACTTTTTTCCTGATAAATTTTTTTATCTGCTTATAACATCATTCTGTTAAATGACTGTTTTCCTGATAAATTTTTCCTTAGCTTTTTGCTTGATAGACTTCTGCATTATGAAAATGTGGATCATTCCTCATCTGGTAGGTGACACTTTAATATGTGTGCAAACTTTGTTTCTTCTTGCTTCTCACTCACTGGGTCTACAAATTAAAAGGCCTGGGTTTAAACATTGGTGAGGAAACAGCCACACTTGTATTTGCTTGACTGCAGGTTGAAAGCCCTTGATAATAATGACAATTTTTTCCAAGTCTCAGTCTAATAGCTAAGAGTAAACTGAGCTTTTCAGATTGGGGATACCAATATCTTGTAGATAAGATGATTGTTTTTTAAAAAACCCTCTCCTTCCAGAGTGTTTGTGAGCCTGAAAATCGTAGACAATAACCTTTGATGACCCTGTTTCACATCAAGTAATAGGTGGCAGGAGGCATTAAGTGCATAATTCTGAAGAATCTGTGTATTTTGACTTCAGCATCTTGATAATTATTTCTTTTCTGAACAAGGTTTGTTGACAGAGCCCCAGTGAACAGAGAATTCATCAAGTACACTGTAATTGTTGTAAACAATAATGAATTACTTTTTATGTTTCTAGATGACGATGGTACAGCATCTTCCTCAGGAGTCAGTGATAGTGAGGGACCAAAGGTAATGTAATATAGATGTCAAATATTTGAGAAGTGAACTTTGAATTTCTCTTTTTAATGCCAAGTGAAGATGGCACATTGATAATGTGCCAACAAAATTCAATTTCATCTTTGTAGGAATGAGTTTATATGAGTTCATCATCCCTTCTTCATTATCACAGTTCAAACTTAGAAAAGTATTTGTGTTTTTAAGAAATCACCGACATATTTTTCAGGTACCCATTGCAGAAAATCCACCACCATCAAGCAACAAGTACTAAATTTATTTTTTATCATAATTGAAATGTTTTGTGAATCTTTAAATTAGTGTCTGAGATGCTTCCTGAAAGGGGAACTAAAAGGTGCTGATTTAGTTTCCCCAAGTTAGTGGCAGATTTGGAATTGTACATAGATATGGTGTTCTATGTTTTGTCCTTAGCAGTAGACCGAAGAAGACACAGGTTGTAAATCATGGAATTCCAGCAGATAGTATGGGCATGTTTCCCTATCCATCTTCAGATGGAACAAGCAGTGCAGTAAGTTTTTTTGCTGGCTCACCTGCCTTGTTTAGGGCAAACTCCAATCATTTTTTGTGTTTTTATTGAAATTTTTTTCAAAATCTATTTTCATAATTTTGAATTCTATTCGTAGGGAGGTGAATTAGCAGCTGCTTCAAATAAGAAGAGTATACAATGTCAATATGTAAATAATGTAAGTCATAAAACATTTCCCCCTTGCATTTGATTTAAATCTTTCACCCTCAGGAATGACTTATGGACAATTTTTCCTCACAGTGTTAGTACATTTTCAAGTAGTCAGGTGACAATAATGAGGAAAGCTATCAACAAGAAGACTTTGTTAAGTGTGGCACATGCAGATATTCAGGGCCAATTTCTGCTAAGGCTGTTGAGCATCCCAGTCTTCAGACTAAGCCTCTGCTGCAGAGTGCAGTTCCTGTATGCAGTAAACCAAGGATTACTGTTTCAAACTATTTGGTTGTAGGTAAATGGTAGGGGTGGTTGGAGATCAGTTAAAACTTGATACTTGGTTTATGTTTTACAGGGTACTGGTGATCAGTGTCAAGAGAGAATCAGTAAAAGATCCAAGTCAGGGTACTGTTCTGCGCATAGATCAGTTATACGCATCTCTAAGCAAGGTATTGACAAAGCATTCTGACATTGTAGTTTAGTTGTAACCCACAACCATTGGATTATTATTTCATTAATTTAACCAAGTAGTGTGTTGCTGAAATGCAACAGTTAATGGCCATTTGCTAAACTTTGACTTAGAGGACAACTGAATTGGGTGAGGCTGTAGCAAATTAAAAAAAAAGGAAGTGCCCTAAAGTACAAGATAAAGCAGGAAATAAGTCAATAACGTCATTCATGTTAATTTTAAAAGACAGTGAGCACATTCTCCATACTTTCCTCCATACATGTCCTAAGGTGCTGGCTGGCAGAATTTGTCTAACAATTAAGACTGCTTTAGTGGATGATCATTTCCTTTATTCTCATGAACTCAATCTATAATTCAGGGTTAATATTGTAAAGAGAAATTAGATACTAATCACTCTAAGGGGTCAAGGGATTAAGGGTTCTGGCATTTAGCACTGGCCTGGTCATTGTGCGTCATTGTGTGTCACACTGCCAGTCTCCACCCAGGAGTATGAATTGGTACTAGTGATTTGTTGAGTAAGCTTGACAAAATTGTTGGGGTAAATTGTAATTGACAGCGTTTGACATTTTGTTTGCTTGTAGCAGGAGGGACACCACCTAAACAACTGAACACAAACACCAAACCTATTCTGGAGTCACAACGAGACAACTCTTCCATGGTGGACCAAGTAAGCAGTGATACTACCTCTCTCAACTTCTTAATTTATATACAGTACAACTTTTTGTAAAAATGAAAAATAAACTACCGTAATCTTTTTTATAAAAATTTAAAAAATGACCTAAACTTTTTTGCGTGAGGTCCTGTGGCCTAGTAGTTAACATAGAGGACTCCCAGGAGCATACCTGGGTGATGGCAAATTGACAGGGAAACCTTGAGAAATGCTTGGGGGTAAATTGCCATGGACAAGCATTCTATCAAGGGGTTGGTGGGGGGAGAGAGGGGGGTCAAGACACCTTCAGCTAAACAACAGTGATGTGTACTATATGTGAGGTCCAGACAATTGTACCCTGTTTCCTTGAAGAACATGTATTGAGAAAGATTTTGTTTTCACTTTCATTTCCATTGCTTTTAGCAACAACTGGAGCGCCTTAATCAACTTTCTGAGTCAAGCAGTTGTACAACTTCTCAGGTGCCACAGGCCACTGAAGAACTACCACAGGAGATGTTTAATGTAGAAGATGATGAAAGAGACAGGTCAGTTGTGTTTCACTCTCAATATGTGTTTAAAATTACTGGTTCAAACAGGTTTGGACCAGGTCAAGGTCGTTTTGCCAAACAGCTATTCCCCACATCTGTTGGCTGCACTGATTTAGATTTAATACCGTGATTGGCTTCATGGCTCTTAGTTCAGTTTAGTGATTGGTGGCCCACATGCAGGTCATTTCTTATATCTGATCTTTCAAAAAACTCACAAAAATGTTGGGGCAGTTAAAAAATGGTAGGCCATCACTGATCGTACTATGTCGATAATTAAGTCAAACATTTAGAAAGGTTAGTCTCTAAAAGGAATTCGAACTCATGACTTTTAGGTTTTTCTTTTGACCTACTGCTTCTTATCATTTCTTGCAGTGAAAATGAAGATTCTCCTGGTTCGTCAAGTTTCCATGGCAACATATATGAGGGTGATGATGATCTTGTAATTGACTTACCCGAATAGAGAAAAATGATTTGACCATAATAAAATCAAACGTTCATTTTTTTATATACGTCTTACTTGAGGCATCACCATCACCAGGCAAAATTCTGCCCAATCGTGTAACTGAAGTGGCCTAACTAAGACGCCTTATGTAGATGGCTTGTTACTCCTGTAATTTAACTGTTTGATGTATATACTCCTGAATTGTGTCTAGAAGTAAAGTCGGCTTTGTTACACCGTGTGTTGCTAAGGTAGATGTAGTTCCGTGTGGCTTTTGATACCAAATCGTTTTCGTGTTATTGAACGGTGTCGCCAAAGTTTGATTGATATTTTCCTGCACCAATATTCGCTAGAACGAGCATAATGAGTGGGTGAGATATTCTCCCGCTCTACTTTTGCTAAGCAACCAACCGCTTTGGTAAGCTGAGCCCACGCTCGATAAACAGCTCTGTCATTGCGCGTATCCCTTTTTTAAACTACTAAACGACTGGGGGAAAGGGGAGAGGGGGAAGGGGTTGGCGATGCAAACATGCCCCCACACCATCCATGAAAGCCACTTCTTCAGACGGAATTTTTGGGGTCCACTCTTGGAGTGATGACCTAAGAATCCAAATGTCGCTATTGATTAGAAGATTGGTTTGTTAAACAGACGTATGTCAAGTACATCGAAATCTTTTCACCTGTGCTTTAGACATAGGAATGGTCGATCCAGCAATACTCAAAAATATATTTTTTTGGAACATGCTCGAAGCATCTTTTAAAATGTTTTTGGACTGATATGTATGAAATTAAAACGATATTGGAATCACCCCTATCAATTTATTATGTAAATTTGATCATTTGATATTGGAATCAATTAGGTGGGTATCTGACCAATGACAAAGTGGGATAAGGCGTTATTTTTAACTGAGCTTTTGAGTTTGGATCGCGGAGCACCCTCACAAACTCCTGCATGGTCTGCAAGGGGTAGTTATTTGTGTTACCTAGACTTTTAAGATATGAACGTTAAGAACCAGATGGATCGGTTAGAGCAGCAAATACAAGAAGCTCAGCAAAGGTATTCAAATGCACAGGGGTGGCTAAACGAAGAAAATCAAAGGACTAGTGAAAACATGAAGCGTGCCATTTCGATCAGTCGGAAAATTCAAGCTTGTCGAGAAAAACTGCGAGAAACGAACGAGGCATGCCGAACTAAGGCTGAAAAACTACAGCTTGCTTACAAAAACATCGAATTTCACGGGCTGATTGTTGAGATAAGAGAAGGGCTAAAGAGAGCTATAGAGTTGACATCAAGAGCAGAGAGGAAGATGGTTAAAGTGGCACACGAATTGGAGAGCATGAACGAAGAGAGATTGAACGAAACTGGAATTGATAACAACAACAATGCCAAAGAATTTGGAGAAATGGAAACTTTTGGCTCAAGAAGGGCTCCATTAGAGGCATTAAGGAATGAATTTTTCGATTCTCAGCTGAAAGAATTTCTAATATTGAGAAAGAAAGTCGACGCGATCAATACGGAAATTGAGATTGTCGACGATAAGTTTGCCGTGTTGGAGGCGAGAAAACAAGAGTTACAAGCAGAAATACATGAGTATAAAACTAAAAAACGCGATCTCTTGAAAGCAAAAGCAAATAAGGAAAATCTCCACAGCACAAACTTGAGGTTATTTTTAGTGGAACTTGGGGTAATATGAGCACAGAGCGTGGCTAAAATAACAAGCCGGGTCTTTATTTTATAGGAATTTGACCAATATTAATACACATACGGTATGATCAAATATAGCACTACGTTGATGCGCTACAAAAACATTCCGCAGATACGAATGTTACGTATGAAAAAAAGCTAACAATTTGTGCGAAGAAGAACGCTGTAGCTAGTTTGCCGTGATAGCTTTTTATTTCAAGTTACTTTTTCTTTCTCGTGTTACTGGTCACCGTCAGACGGATTTATGCACAGATTATGTCTAAGATAATATATTAAAGTTCACAAGGCAACCAGGTGGACATTCAGACATGGTTTGATGCTACTCTAGTTTGAAAGATTTAATGAGAAGTTACAATTTATAGACCTTATGAATTGTATAAAGAGGGTAAGTTTCTAAAGAAACTGTGGTGCCTCGTCGGTGAGAGAGTATAACAGGTAATTTGGTGTTAACAACTGAGTTGAAAACGTAAACTGGCCACCGTTAAGAGTCAAAAGGCTGACGTTTCGAGCGTTAGCTCTTCGTCAGAGCGATTGCGAAGGGCTAACGCTCGAAACGTCAGCCTTTTGACTCTTAATGGTGGCCAATTTACGTTTTCGACTCAGTTATTAATACCAAATTACCTATGAATTGTAACCTCTCGGTTACATTCATTAAATGTTTTAACCAGAGTAGCATCAAACCATGTCAGATTGTGTCTAATTCACTACTTAAGGTCTTGAGTTCTTTATGTAAAAATGTCAAAACACGTTTCCACTTTTTAGTCCTAGTCAGTGAAACTCGGTCAGGCTTAGAGGGGAAAAGAAGAAGTTTCGAGGAGAAGAAGCACATTTCAATTTACAAATAAATGCCTCCTTAGGCTCGTTTTGGGTGAAATCAGACGATAACGTCCAAAAGCGGACTAAGAAATTTGTAAGCGGAAGATAGAGTTCGAAATCAGATGATGCCGTCCGAAATTGGACAGCAGCGTCAGAAATTCGACGATGGCGTCCGAGATCGGATGATTGCGTCCGTAAATAGACGATACTTAGTGGTTCTAGCAGGACTCAGAAGAGTCCGTTTCGACCTGTAGTAATACGAGTGATATTCGCATTGTTTTCCGATTTGTTTATCATAAGTATGAAAACGTCCAAAATTTGACGATGGCACCCGTTATCGAACACAAGCGTTCAAAAGTGCACGATAGAGTCTTTTTTTTAATTTTTTGGAGGTAAGTCCGTAATTTTTTGACTGACAGACTGAAATCACGGTTAGGTTTATCAGCATAGCTGATCGGGTCGCCTATTTAAAATAACTACTATCGTTTAAAACTTAATCAACTGATCACGAATGCAGTGACTATGAAAACTTAAAATATAGTACACACAGTCCTAAAGATCCACCTACTAACGTTATTTGAAATAAAAATTCTAGCAATTATCATAGGCGTTGTCCAGTTATATTTGATGACGGCGACTGTGGAATCGAAATTGATTTTGTTAACGTCTCATTTATTCGATATGCATCGTAGATGCGACAGTGCCTACGTCTGTGCGTGCGTACATACTTATGCGGCCATTTATGCCTGCTTGCGCATGTTCATACTTCCCATTGAAGTCATGAAATATGAAGCGTGGGAACGGCCAAATTTAACATTTTTCTTCAATTTTATTACGCTTTGTTGACTCGACATTAGTGGCGAAAATGCTATTTTTAATTTGCTTATAAACCCAGGAAGCAGATACAAACTGAAACAGGAAAAGTCTTTCGAAGTATATTTTGGTGCAACGTGTCCAAGCCATGTCCAATATCCAAGCGTCCACGCCAGTATATTATTTAATACCAAATGTCATGCCAAATATGGAACACAACTGCTTGGCGGGAAATTTGTCTGTCACAGCGACACAGTCGTCTCCTGAGTATTGTGGTAGTTTCATTCATCGCGAGCAAACTATTTGGTCTTTTTTGTTAAAGGGACTAAATTTTTTTCTTTTCATGGATAAAGGAGTGGTAAGTAATTTTTTTGCAATTGTGTACAGAGAAGATGAGAATATTTATGTTGTGAGCTCACTTGCAAGCGATAAACAAATCGAGGTAAACCTTTGGAGCGTACGAAGGAGAGTCCAGCTGTGAAATAATTTTGTTAGTGCATTTCATATAGATAACAGTTCTAACCGTGATATGTGTTACATTCTTATTTTAAGTCCATAGGCTTGTTGAACTGCACTTCAAAAGATCGGTTTAATGAAATTTAATGAAAGATTTTTAGAAGATAGAATTTCTTCGGAACGAAACGTTTCCAAAACGAATTGAAAACTTCAGTGATACAAGTTTAAGCTTCCTTGTCACATAAAGTTTTAAGCCCTTACGTAAAAAAAAATTCCCCGTTTTCCTCTCTTTCCTGGCCATTTAAAAGGTAGCGAAGACCTTCTCACTAGGATTAGATGACTCAGTTGACGTAAAACAATAGCGAACAAAATAGGCAAAAGAACGAGGAAAACGATGAAAACAATAGGTTAATTAACCTCTTAGATATGAGGCGGTGCATGTATGAGACGTGTCTTGCGTCTCCTACACCAAGAAAGAGCCCCAAAAACGTTTCTTCAAACAAAAAAAAATATGGTTTTGTTTCCCTGTTTCATGTGGTGTTATAATTAACACTACTGCTGTTATGAAATAGACTCTTATTAATGATTCCTTGCATTGCGGCTTTCACTTTCCTGTCTTACTTCACGCCTCAATCAAGTGGATTATTGAGGAGGTATTTCATCTCCTTGAATTACTATAATTGTGAATTGTAGATCTTAGGTGAGAACTCTAACTCAGCGACGTTGTTCATTAAAATTAAGTTAATTCAGTCGCTTCAAATGCAAATTCAGTATCTTAAAAACATGTTCTTCTTATTGTTGCAATTTATGTTATGAGTTTGCCTTTCCCATGTACTAACAGTATTAATTTTCATGTTGTGGTTTGTAGGACTACTCAGCCAATGTGTGTCATGAGCTGCTTGAAAACCCTTGTGAGAGTTCAGTAAAAGAATTCTCTGAATTCATAACCAGGGTAGGAAACCTCAACCACATAGAAAATATGTCTACAAAGAAGCTGATACACCGCACCCATTCTGATTAGCTAAAAACTAATCCTTCAATGTATCACTAAGCTTTTTGCTTATGTTTTTATGATATCCACTTGTCATTATCTAGCCATCCTTTCTATCAATTTACTGGGCTAGTAACCTTCATGGGATGTTGGGGGAATGCACCCAAAAAGTTCATACATTTCAAGCTAAAGGCTGATGATTCACAAACTATTCTTTGGTTCTCTCAACTTTAAAATGATTGGGTTATTACACTGAAAAATGAAGAAAAACTAAAATCTCTTGCA